AACGTTCCTTGAGGATAGAAGCTTGATGGAGAAAAGTATTTTGATCAGTGCAATTTCTCCTGATCCTCAGGAATTGACTTTTGGGTATGTTGCTCAACCACATGGGATGGTGGCAACTGTCGAGGGGGATGTAGCTATTTCTGTCAGTAACCTTGAAAAAGGTTTCAGTGACAATCCTCCCTTCATAATTAACCAAGGTTAAATCTAAAAAATGGATGCTAGTTGTGCTATACTCAAATGTGAGCTTAATATTAAGTGTGTTAAAATTCAAAGTGTTGAAAAAGTTCAATAACGCTTGTTCCTCACCGTTCCAAATTAAAAATATATCGTCGATATATCGTCTATAAAACAAAAGCTCTGGCCAATCTCTTCCATATATCATGTCTTCCTCCCACACTAGACATGAAGAGATTGGCCAGGCTGGGAGCAAACTTCGCTCCCATTGCAACCCCCTTAGTCTGTAAATAAAACTGGTTATTAAACCAAAAGTAGTTCTTGATCATTGTGAATTGCAACAACTCAAGAATGAAATCTTTCTGTAAACTCGACATCCCATTAAAATCCTCAAGATAAAACTTCACTGCTTCCATACCATCTAAATGGTCAATATTAGTGTACAATGATGTAACATCAGCAGTCACTAAAAAAGTATCACATTTGATGCTGATGTTATTAATATCCTGTAAAACCTGTTTTGTATCACGTAAATATGAGGGGGTACCAGTGACTAGAGGTTGTAAAAAATGATCGATGTATTCACCCGCTCTCGAACCCAGTGAACCGATGCCACTGATAATCGGTCTTCCCGGAGGATTGGTCATACTCTTATGTATTTTAGGTAAAATGTAGAGTATGGGTAACTTCGGTGCAGAGGGGCATAAAAAATCTTTCTCTTTTTTATTTATGACCTTATTATCATAACCTTTATTTAGAATAGTTTTCAATAATTTTTTATATAAATAAAGTGGGTTTTTAGACAAAAGAGAATAAGTATCATTATCACTTAAAATATTATTAACCTCATTAATATAATCAGTTTTGGATAAGACCACGACACCTCCCCCCTTATCTGCTGGTCTAATCACCAAATCTTTGTTTTTCAACAGGGTGTCCATGGCTTTCTTACAGGCTACATTGGTTCTCGCTTTCTTTACTTCCAGTGTGCCAAGGTCCTTTAAGACAGTGTCACGGAAGGCATTGATATAAGTCAATGATTGTACGGGAGGATTAAACAACGAAGCATTTCTCAACGAAGCATTTCTCTATTAAAAGCCGACCCTGTTTTAGCAGATTTTTTGCCTGATAAGCCTGAAATAACATTCAGAAAGGCACCAACACTGCGAGACAAGTTAGCCCCTAATGTGGTTGATCCCCCCACTAGTGTTTTCCTTTTTCTCAGAGCTTAAAGGATTCTTTCCATGTAACAAGTGTATCATCTGTAGGTGTAATGGAATTAGAAAAAGGAGTACCAGCACTTTCAATTCAGCAGTTACAGGAAGAAACTATAATATTGATGGCTTCATCACATGCAATAGTAGATTTGTGGTCTACTTATTACAGTGCCCGTGTAATAAACAATATATTTGGGAGAACTACGAGGAAATTAAAGGATCGTTTGAGAGAGCATGTCAGTAATGTTAAGAAGGGGAATAAGGAACATTCCTTGTCTAAACATTTTCGTTTATTCCATAATAATGACCCCACTTTATTGACTTTTGCTGGTATAGATATTGTTACAACTCATTGGAGGGGAACTAATAGAAAGAGAACAGTCTCACAAAAAGAATCAAAGTGGATTTATGAATTGGACACTTTTTATCCCAAAGGACATAATGTTGAGTTTGATATCAACAGTTTTATCGATAACAGCTGACTTTGGTTGATTATTTGTATGTGCTATTAATTGTTAGTTTTTTACATTTCTATATATTATTATCTGATGGGCTTGTTATTTTATGTTGCTATTTGTGTGATTGCACATAATTATGCTTGATACCTCTACGCTTTTATCAAGTATTTTAATATTTATTATTAATCTGTAGATACAATGCAACCTTGTGTCTACTTTGGTTTTTAATAACATTTTTATACATTATTGTCTAATTACACATTATGTGTACATCATGTTGTGGTTCTTGGTCATTGTGAATATATGTTTAATCATGTTTATATGGATATTGTTTATTCTTATTCTCATTTTTATGTATATCTAATTTTATTTGTATAATTTTTGTAATTTGTGTAATTGCATTTATTGTATATTTATACTGGAGACATATTATTTTAACTTAATGTTTTAACAGATTATGGTATATGGATGTGCATCTATATATACATGCGTTTATAACATTCAGTTAGGTGTTCTCATTGCATTTCTTGTGTGTTGTTTCCAGCCCTGTATGTATTGACAAACAGCCGCTCACTGCTGATAATATACCCACTGCACAGCTGTGTTTGTCTCTGGCATCGTAGTTGTTGGTAATGCAGACCACAACAAAATGGCGCTGGACTAAGATGCGGACATCATAGCGATGTCTGCTTTGCGCATGCGCAGGGACGCCGGCAAAATGGCGGACGCGCTTATACGATTGCCAGATACTATATATACAGGGTTTGGAGTAGATGTCTGGTTAGCTGACACACTCCCTATGAATATGTGCACATGGCACGAAACGCGTCAGGGTAAGAGCAGCATATCCCAGACATTATACTACCGCATGGAGCGGTGGTTATCTTTATGCAAATTTATGGTCAGTCTATTTATGCAGTCCTTGTCTATCTATTTTTTGGATCAATAAATCTTTATTTTAAACGGTATCACACCATCCTGGCTTTTTTCTTGGGACACTGCTGAGTTTTAATACTTGCAGAGTCTCTTAGGGGACAGCTGAGGGGTGTCCTAGTGTGGCAACACACGATTCATAAGAGGATTCTTTGGATGGACTGCTGTGCTTAGATGATGACCAGATCCGTTTATGAGATAACTGCGTATGGATATCGGGATACCATCTATATGCATATTTGAATTATGCATCTGGTGAGTGCATGATTCAGTTACTCTGATCACCGGAAGACGCACGTTTTTTCAGTCACCATTTGATGTTTAAAGGACTATTATTATTCTTATGCACAGTTTTTGGCACTTTGTCACCATTTTATATGTATATGGTTTAATTATATTGTGTTCTAGCGCTGCGCCCTTCTCTTTTATATGTTCTTTTTTTTAAGTTGTTTGGTACTTATTGGCGCATAGCAGCTTTTCCATCTAGCGCTCACTTTTATCTTTACTTCCTATTCCTTCTACTGACACCAATGATTGGGCACTATTCCCCACTGACACCAACGATTGGGCACCATTCCTCCCACTGAAAACCAACAATTGAGCACTATTCTTCCCACTACCAATGAATGGGCACCATTCCTCCTACTAACACCAACAATGGGGCACTGTTTCTCCCACTGACACCAATGATGGGGCACTATTCCTCCCACTGACACCAACGATTGGGCACCATTCCTCCCACTGAAACCAACAATTGAGCACTATTCTTCCTACTACCAATGAATGGGCACCATTCCTCCCACTAACACCAACAATGGGGCACTATTCCTCCCACTGAAACCAACAATTGGGCACTATTCCTCCCACTGACACCAATGACTGAGCACTATTCCTCCCACTGACATCAATGATGGGGCACTATTCCTCCCACTGACACCAATGACCCCCTAAGGTGTGATGGACAGTAAACCGGCCCTTTGTTGAGAAAGTTTGGAGACCCCTGGTCTAGGCTGTGCAGCCTCCTTCTTGCCACATAGCCTCCCTCACCATCAGTTCACTCATTGCCTTCCCTATCTCTATTCAGCTCCAAGCCGATTGGGAAGTATGAACTCTTCGTAGGATTACATTTTTGTGGCACTTTAAGTTTTGGTTAGGATTGATCTCTTGAAACCAATTACAATACAGTCTATTCAGAATTCAGTATTTTATGCACTTTGTCCCCTCGGGACCAATGCTGACCAAAATTGGGTTCACTTCGCAACTGCTTTTCTCTCTCCATACAAGTCTAGGGAAATGCAAAAGCAACTGAAGCAGGTCAATTGAATGTTAAATGCACCTACAAGAAATTCTGAATGATCTTAGAAGAACTCAGAAGGGTGCCAAAAAAGCGTGCTGATCATGCCCATCTAATGAGGAAAAACATTGTTTTGTCTTTCTTTGCTATTTATGGGAACCACGTGCAGATATATGCACAAAATGCAGCAATGAAGGTTTTCTACACAGGAATGTGATCTATACCAATTGCTTTCGGTACACCTGAGGTGCACATTTCAGTTTACAGCAGAGAAGAACAGAAGTATAAATAGAGGGTTAGTCCCCTTTCAGATGGGGCAGCCTCCGTCCTGGTCACCAGCAGGGGATCCACTTGTAGATCCCCTGCTGATCAGAGCAGAGCGGGAGGATGGTGGCGGATGTAGACCGGACACAGAGAGAGCCCACTCTGCTGTATGGGTGGCTGGGTATAAATCGATTCAGCTGTCCGTTTAAACCCGAGTACCCTCCGATCCGAACTGCTTAACCACTTGCCTACCGGTCACTTATACCCCCTTCCTTACCAGGCCAATTTTCAGCTTTCAGCGCTGTCGCACTTTGAATGACAATTGCGGGGGTCATGCAACATTGTACCCATATGACATTTTTATCATTTTTTTTATCACAAATAGAGCTTTCTTTTGGTGGTATGTACTCCCCGCTAGGTGTTTTACTTTTTGCGCTATAAACAAAAAAAGCAAAAAATTTGAAAAAAAAGGTTTCTTTGTTTCTACTATAAAATTTTGCAAACAGGTAATTTTTCTCCTTCACTGATGTGCGTTGATGAGGCTGCACTGATAGGCAGCACTGATGGGCACTGATAGGCAGCACTAATGAGGTGGCACGGATAGGTGGAACAGATAGGTTGCACTGATGATGGGTACTGATAGTCAACACTGATAGGCGGCACTGCTGGGCACTGACTGGCGGCACTGATGGGCATTGACTGGCGCAACTGCTGGGCACTGACTGGCACAACTGCTGGGCACTGACTGGCAGCACTGATGGGCAGAGGTGGGTGGCACTGATGGGCAGAGGTGGGTGGCACTGATGGGCAGAGGTGGGTGACACAGATGGGTGGCACTGATGGGCACAGGTGTGTGACACAAATGGGTGGCACTGATGGGCACAGATGGGTGGCACTGCTGGGCACAGGTGGGTGGCACTGCTGGGCGGCACTACTGGGCACAGGTGGGTGGAACTGGTGTGTGGCACTGCTGGGCACCGATCATCAGGGAACTGATCATCAGTGCCCTGATGATCGGTGCCAATCCCTGCTCTGACAACTGCCGGTTCTCGGCAGTACTTTCCCCACGTTCTGACAGTGTGAGGAAAGTGCAGCCGAGAACCGGCAATTTCATTTCCCTGTGATCAGCGTGTCATTGGACACGGCTGATCACGTGGTAAAAAGCCGCTGTGATTGGCCTTTTACCACATCACGTGATCAGCTGTGTCCGTAGGACACAGCGATCACAGAGATCGCCGGGTGCGCCCCCTGAGAGTGCGTTCTGCCAGGACGTCATATGACGCCCTCCCAGAACTGGCCGGCCGCCGCAGTGTAACGGTCATTCAGCTATCTGTGGTCGGCAACTGGTTAAACGGAAGAGAATGGATCCCCCTCTGTTTTTTGGTTTTTTTTTTTCATTAGCGGACCAGATCGGACCCAGAGGTAGGCGGGTGTAAACAAAAACACCTGTCCGGTCAGGACCATCCAATCAAGTCCATCTGAAAAACTGACATGCAGACCTGATCGAACTTGCCATATGAAAGGGGACCTAAAGACTTAGTTCACTTTTGAGTATGTTTTCAAAATATCTGTACCAATTACACTACTCAGCAATGCTAAACAATGGGTAGAATGAACAAAGAGTGCTTGCACCATCCTTATAAACATAAAAAATGGAGCCAATGCTGCTCCTAAGTAACAAAGCCCCCGTGTTCATTAGGAGTGATCAGTAAAATAAAACTGGATAGTAACATATGTATGTAATAATACCAGGGATTGTCTATCCAGGGAATGTCCTATTGCCTTTTGGGGGATCAGAAAGGAATTTATTTTTTACCTGCTGGAGCAGCTTGGATCGTGCTTTATATAGGATTTTTTTGCCTTCTGATAAATCAACTGTGGGTATAGGACTGTGCAGGGGCGGACTGACCATTTGGAAACTCGGGCACTGCTCAGTAGGGGGCCCTATGAGATGCCTCTGGTACCTTTTTCATAGGCTTTTTTGAGTTTGGGCAAGGACACAGGGACCCCATGATCCCCTATTGCCCGGGGGCCCCATGAGTTGTCAGTCCACCCCTGGGACTGTGTATAAGAAGGCTATGTATTTATTGTATTTTTTTATTTATTTGTGTCAATTGGATTAACTAGATGAACTTGTATATTTTATTTATGTAGCTATATGGAGTCAATTTACTAAAACTGGAGAGTGCAAAATCTGGTGCAGCTGTGCATGGTAGCCAATCAGCTTCTAATTTTAGCTTGTTCAGTTAAGCTGGAAGCTGATTGGTTTCTATGCATAGCTGGACCAGACTTTGCACTCTCCAGTTTTAGTAAATAAACCCCTTTGTAACTTAAAGTGTTACTAAACCCACAACAGTAAAATCAGTCTGTATATGCAGTAAAGCTTGTTTGATATACTCACTGTGGAACCTAAGGGGTTAATCCTCTGCATTGTGTAAAAATGCTGTTTGATCCTAACTTCTCTGATCCTCCTCTTCTTCCAGTGTCCCCCTCTTATCTCCTGATAAGACATATCATGTGGAGACACTCTGCACATGCTCAGTTTGGTGTGTATTGCTAGAGAGGTTTTGGGGGTTTTTTTTCCTTGGGAGAGTGCGTGTGATCAGCACAGGGCCAATCAGCACTGTCAGGGCAGAGGTCAGGGGTTCTGCATCCTCCTACCTAGAGCAAAAAGAAAACTCCTCCTACAAGCTTTAACCAGTGCCTGGCTGGACACTGATAGAAGTCACAAGACTGCTCTAACTGCTGATGAAAAAAGGTATTTAGCAGTTTATATTTACTAAAATAATTGCATTGCCATGTTCTGTTTACTGTGGGAGACCAGATATAGTAAATGCAGGGTCAGGGGTTTAATAACACTTTAGATGTTATATCCTTTTATCAACTAGCGACTGAAGATCACAATGAATGCATTTTGGAATATAAATAATGTGGATAATTAAAACCCAAAAATGTTTGTCATGATATACAATTTGTGTTTTCCTGGCCACCAATCTTGAGCATGATCAAAATAACTCCGGTATTATACCAACGACCAGCGTGTTTTCAGCTATCTATATATTTATTCATAATTTTGATTTTGAGATTAAGTTTATGCTCATTTAGAATTGTGCCCCTCAGTTTGTCATCATTTGAAATTTAATTATGCATATTTCTAAGGCTTAATTTATTTGTTTATCCATAACATGTTATTAGGGTTAACTATTGTCATATAAGTTGCCTCTTTTTTGGTATATATTCATTAATTTAAACGAGTTGTGTCCTGAACAACATTAATAGTTGTTTTTGTGACCTTGATCCATGGCAAAATGGCGCCTAGATTGAGCGCATGTGCACTTCGCGTTCTTCGCCATAATGGCAGCAACGTAGTGCGCATGCGCCATTTCTCCTATATAATGAATCTGTGCATGTCATGGCGGTGTTGGTCTCCCCTCTGAGGATGTGCGTGGCATAAAAAGCTTTAGAAGGAACCAACACGCTGTGACGTCACGCTGCCGGAGCCTTGTGCAGGTCCGGCTGCCATCTTTGTTTTTGGTCAGTGCTGCGTTAACTCTGCAAAACTGTCACTTTTATATATTTTAAATCTCCATGGAATAAACACATTATTTTCATACTACTACACTATGGGCACCTTTTGTTTGACTCCGATATGGAGCTATTGAATTATAGAGCCTTCTTGTGAGCCTGGCCCATTCAAGCACCCAGAGGAGGGAATCCCTGTAACACAGACTGCAGACCCATCCATCCTTAAAGGGGACCTCTGGATGAGCTGACCAATTACCCAGCCCAAGAGATTCTGCTGTGCTGTTTAACACCCTGAAGGAAGTTTACCACACGCCTGGTATATCCCGTTACCTAAAGTGGACCGTGTTGGATATATTTATATGCGCATATTCAGTGAGCATCTGGTGAGTACGCATTTTTACTATACCTTCCAAGCACAAGCACTTGAATATCGCTGCGGTTGGGATCTTATATCACCATTATTTATTTATGAACTTTTATGAACTTTTGAATTTTATTTGTCATTTATACATGTTACTGGTTTAACCTTTCATTTGAATTTAGTGCTGCACTCCTTGTTTACTATCTGGCAGAGTTTTTTTCTGGTTACCTTAGTACAATAGCTGCTTCATCGGGAGCACTCTCTTTGTTTTACTTTATACTTTTCCTGGCCACCTGCAAAGGTTAGCAGCTTGCAAATATTTGTTTTCCAAATCTGGGTTTATTAATACTCTTACACATGCCCCATTTCATTAGTTTTATTTTTATGAGAATTTCATGTGACTGTACAATACATTATACCCTGGAGATGCCCCTAGGAAGCACAAGTTTGTCATTAAGGTGAACTAACCCTTAGGGCCAGTTCACACCACAAAAATGTACTTCGGATGCATTCCGGATAAGTTTTTGCTCACAGTTCACACCACACTCTGTTCTGGTGCAGTTTTGATGCAGTTTGCTATGTTCCAGTATGGTTCTGTGCAGAAAAAATGCAGCATGTTCTACTTTTTTTTCTGCACCGGAAACTGACTGGAATTGCATGCACTGGTGTGAACCAGGGCCATTGGAATACATAAAAAAACACTGTGCATGCATTTTTGATGCAGAAAAAAAAAAAACGCACTGAACTGCATCTAGTGTGAACTAGCTCTAAATCATGTCCATGACCATATAGAATTTGCCAAGAGTATTATCTCAATTTCTGTTCACAGCTGCTGTTTTGGGACAAAGTCAAAACTAAATGTGCAGCACTATTTCTAAATAATAATAAATAAATGAACTATATGAGACCATATAAAAAAAATGAAATCAGTGTCCAGAAATGTTCCACTCAGTGCATTTAAAATATATATAAAATAAAACACATACATGTTTACATCATACTAGCATACAGTGAATCAAAAATCACAAAACACAAATCAAAGTCCCATGAAGTGCCAGTGAAACCTCTGTGTCCTCTTTTAGTAAGCACAATCCTCCCAGTCAATACACACCACCATAGTGTCATCAAAGAGCACTTACTGGAGGCGAATGGCCCCAAAAAGACTGAATGGTCATATACTGTTGTGTTCAAAATAATAGCAGTCAGACATCACTAACCTGATCAATCACTGTTTTTGGTAGAAATGATATTTCTACATGGCAAATAATTTACTTGCAGGTGTAGTAGAGTAATAGAAATTCAACAGACCCAACAGTCATGACATGCATGCTGCTGATTCTGTGTAATTGAATCACTAATTGAAAGGGGCATGTTCAAAATAATAGCAGTGTGGAGTTCTATTAGTGAGGTCATTCATTCTTTGAAAAACAGGTGGAAATTAACCTCCTTGGCGGTATGATTCCTTCCGATTTTTTGTGTTGAAAGCGGTACCATTTTTTCGCATGGAAATAGTTTTTTATTGTAGGCTGTAATTTTTAGGAAAATTTCCCCACAAATCATTATCACTCAATTCTGTAAGTGGTTCTGATTTACTATCGCTGTTCTCTAGCCGGTCTAAAACCGCTTTTGACGTAAAGGGATGCTTTTTGGACGCCATGGACTTTTCTAAGTTTCCAGGCAGAAAGAACAGACAAAATGCAGGCAGGGCACAGGACAAAGCACTCGGGACAAAATGTATGTGAAATGGGATGAAACAGCAATGTTTTACTATTTAAAATTGAAAAAAAAAAAAAAAAATGAAATTTTTTAAATTTCCCGCCGGCGCCCGTACGTCCCGACGTCACGGGGACCGGAACACAGAAGCGGATGCCGGCATCGGCCGGAGGAGATGGCCGGGGACACTGCAGGGGACACATCGTGGGAACAAAGGACAAGGTAAGTGCTGCAGGGACCCCCAGAGCAGCGCCGCATGGTAAGCCCGAGTGTAGCTCGGGGTTACCGCTTGTGGTATAGAAATTTTACCCCGAGCTACACTCGGGAAAACCGCCAGGGAGGTTAAGGAAGGAAGGCAGCAAATGTTGTACATGCTGGTTACAGTGCATTTCTCTCTGAAATTCTGAGGAAAATGGGTCGTTCCAGACATTGTTCAGAAGAACCGTGTACCTTGATTAAAAAGTTGATTGGAGAGAGGAAAACATATAAAGAAGTGCAGAAAATGATAGGCTG